TAAACAGCGTTTCACGCTATCGAAGTCGAGAAACCTGGCACTGAGGTCCACAGGGACACTCGGCACAGTGACACAAGTCCCCGTCGCTAAACGAACCGTGACGGTGTCACTCAGAAGCTTTTAGCGCCTCAGCAAGCATACCGCTGACTTCTTCCAATCGTGGTGCAACGAGCATGATTGCCTGACGACACGGAATCAATCAGGATCTTCCATGGCTTCACAAAGCTCTTCACGGTCGCTTTTATGAACAGCAAGTCAGGCTTGCATACACGTTCCGTGTTCAAGAGCACGGAGCTTTTTGGGGCTGGGCCCTGCTGCCCTATATCTCTTTGAGGCTCAACAGAACTCAGTTCTCCCCCAAAAAGGTGCCCCGCGCTTACTGGGTGTTCTCGTTCCCCCGCGACAAACCAGACTGGTGAGATGCGTAACGTCGGTTCGACGAACATTGAGGCACCTTGCGCAGGAAACAACCAGTCCGAAGATGTTGGGTGCCTCCACAGACAAAACACCGTCGGGTGTTCGAACGCTGCCCGGTAGCTCGGAGCTCTCCCTATTCTATCCCAACATGGCTGAAAAGCATTGGCTCAGGCCCGCTCGTCGAGCTCTGAGAGTGTGCATTCCAACCAAGTCGCGCCGACTTGAAGCTGAATTCGGCATTCAATGCCACATTCACCGCTTCTTCAAGAAAAGTCGGATGCAAACAGAAGACTTTCATTCTGGTCATGCCAGTGTGGAGGCCCTTCATAAAGATGGTCACTGTGTCCGCCTCGGGGAGAGGATCGGTTGCCATCCCGGCAATGAGAGTTTTTAACTCTTGGTCACAGTTCATCAATTTATTTGGCATGGAAACGTGATCGCACGCGATATGCCTGGTTGGGCGGCGAGAACACTCGCAAAAGCTGCCGCTTCAGCTCTTTCCAGGAGGGGAACACCGCTTCAACCACCATTGCCTATTCTCGCACTCGGCTCCCGAGCTTAGAGATAGCTTGACGAATGCCATAGCCATCTCGGCCTCTCTCATACAGAGCATGAGATTTTCTCCACCTTTACCCTTAAAGGTACCATGAGCGGCCTGAGTTGAATGAGTCATCCGTCGTCGACGGTGGCGTCATGGATGAGCCGACAGCGACAACTTTTTTTCCTGGTGCTTTAGCAGAGCATTTCATCATTTGAAAATGCCTCCAGGCGAGCGTTTATCGCTTCGGTTTTGCGAAGCAAGGTGTTGCATGCCCTCAGGGCCAGGCAGGAACATCGGCTTATTAAGCCCGTTCGGATGCCCTAGGGTTAATAGGAGGATTGCTCAATCCAAACTGAGGATTAGGCGTAGATTGGTTACGAGTGCTACCAAGTGCAGCGGGGCTGCCGTAGCTCTTTGCTTAGAGGATGCTGACTAAGATCACCGACCTTTCGTTCTATACAAGAACAGTTTTAGTTTAGCGTCGAGCGGACCTGAGAAAATGGATCTCAGCTATGGTAAAAACGAGGGGGAAGGGCGTTAAAACATCCGATGAAACTTTGCCTATGGAGACACCCGTCACCTTCGGACTGGTTGTCCCCTCCGCAAGGCGCGTAAAGGTTCATCAAATGACATCCCGCTAACGCCGCCATCCCATGGCGCAGAGCTTGGATGGGGAGGGCTAGCCGAACGGCTAGCAAATTTCTATCCCCTCACTGTCGTAATGAAATTGATGACAACTTGTCTACCAGACTGAGTGTCCTACGACACGTTTGCGATAACATTGTCTGTTTTCATTGTCGCACGAAGTAACGCGTACGTCTGCTCGACGGCTAGGGGCTGCTACGACAGAGCGCAAAAGTCCCCAAGGTGAGGCAGTCGGTGCACAAAGTGCTCCAAGCACTCGAGGTCTTCCGCACAGCGGTATACGACCTCGGCAAGATGCTCAGCGGAGTTCCGATGATGACCGACTTTGTCCTCCAGAGCTCGAAGAGCATCGGTACGGCAATCGACCAAGTCGTCATCGTCCGCCGCAAACTTTTCTTAACGTGAACAATAGCGTCCACTGGTCTTGTGGGTCGACGGCGTCGACTGGGTCGAATGAAATATCTTTCAAAGTGGCGGGGATACTCAAACTCCGAGAACTCGTGGGAGTTCGAGGTGCCACTTCGGCAAGACTGCCCAGACGTCGTGGACGCTTATGATCAGAAGGATCATGACAGTTCGCGTCGTTGTGCACCCCGCATTTATTGGCAGTAGCCCGGGAAGCCGTAGGGTCATGAGCTGAGCTCTAGCTATGGCCCTGAGCCGCTGTGGTCGTAGACCCACCGCGTGAGAAACCACAGAGATCGCGTGGGCGTGACGGGTTATTCCATGTGTCATAGGGCGACAATACGCAGGAAGTCAGCGTTACGCCTTGAGTTTGGCAAACTCAAATCGAAGATGACACTCTACGCGCACGCTCACTTCTTTGTGGCTCCGCTGTCAGTGAGACAGCGAGGGAATACTAGAGGAGGAGATTTACCCGTGCCGCTACACCCATCGCTCAAAGAGCTCATCATCATCTGCAGTGATTTTGCCAGGGGCGAGCACTACAGATATAGTTCGCATTGCGGGTACAGGAGCGCCTCCTCATTCAGCTGAAAGTCGAGCGTGATACCTATCCATTGGGATTTCTTGAGGTACCAAGAAGCGAGCTCGGAGAGCTTTCCGCTGGTCA